TTTTTATTTTTGTCATTTGATAGAAAATTACTCTACTAAAAGTAATAATTATTGGGCCATGTTTTGAGGTAGCCCCCCATAGAGTGTTACCATCCATTATTCGGTGTTTAGGAAACTTTAGGCACGTTTTTCAACCGAATTGACTGTAAATATATTTATTTAGGATCCTCATGGACTATCAAATCTTCCCACTAAAAGATTTGATTTGATATAGCTCCATTTTAACGGCCTAACTACATATTCGATGTTTTTTAAGGTCTTAGAAGCATTTTCCCACCGAAGTGGCTATCATTTGAAAAAACAAATATTTGCTGAAAATATATATTTAGGATTTTAATGGGCTATTAAATCTTCCCACTAAAGGGTGTAATTACCGATCCACGCTTTGATATACCTCAACGGCTCAATTAGATTTCGGTATTTTTTTTAATAATATATAATTTAAAACCAGTGAGCGGAGCAGTATAGTCGGACGGGCCGACCATACGATACCCTACACAACTACCACGGAACTCGAACTTTCTGCGGATGTTTATTCCGAGTCTGGGTAATATTTCGTGATATTTGTCACCTCTTACCCGGTTTTGTAATTTTTCACACATTTTTTTCCATTTCCATTTGACCCGCTAGATATAGACCGATCTTTATCAAAACAGCTATGCTTATTCTTTGGGTTGGGCCAAAGAATAAGCATAGCTGTTTCGCGATGTTCGGGCCATAATTGCGGTCTATGGAGCGACCAGAAAAACCGATAAAAATTAAGGATTTTGTCCATTTCATCCCCTAAATATTAACCGATCTTTACCAAAAAATAATAGCGTTCTTCATTGGGCAAAACCCATCCTACATGCAAAATTTCATGAAGATTGGTCCATAACTGTGGCCTATATCGTGTTTACAAATTATAATGGACACACGGACGGACGGACGAACACACATGTCTAGATCGACTCAGCTAGTCGATATATGACGATCGGTATACTTAAAGGTCGGTCTAGGACCAATATTTCGCGGCGTTACAAACTCAACATAGTTGTGTAGGGTATAAATATATTTGCTAAAATTTTTATATGTAGGTTCATGTGTTAGCACAACCCAGATATGACGATCGGTATACTTAAAGGTGGGTCTAGGATCAATATTTCGCGACGTTACAAACTCTTGGGGCTGCACAAAGCTATAATACCCTGACAACATATTTGTGTATGGTATAAATATAGTGTTGGCACAACCCACATATACAAAGAATCACGACCCATTTTCGGTTCATGATTTTTAGATCGCTTCCATACAAAGGCCCCGCATAATTTTGTCTGCAATTTACAATGTCACAATCACCATATAAAGTTCTCGAACTTTTCAAGTAATTTTAGAAGGTAAGAAAAGTTCGGCACGGTCGAATTTAACAAGTTTGATTTTTTGCTGTGATTTTATATTTGACATTCTACAAATATATCAGATGCTTAGGGACGCATTTCAATCAAATTTTCAGCAGTTATAAATATTGGATCATGATTCGGATCATACGGCAATATGGAGATTTTCAATAACTTGTTTTTAACAGAATTCGGTATTTTGGCTTCTTTTTTCAGATTAGGCCCAAAGATAGGGTCTTAATCCATAGACCTGGTATAAATCCGTTGGCTAGAGCGACTAAAACTTTACAATTAGTTAAGAACATTTTGCCAAAATTAACAGTTCAGATAGAGAATTCGCAATTTGATATATAAATGATGCAAATAAAATTATATTTATGAACTACGTCCCGAGGTTGCCGTGTCCCTTCGATATAAGGTTATTACCGACTATGATATTAATGAAGTCCTCAAAATTATTTTGAATGGTAATTTTAATCAAATATCAGTCAGTCGTCTGCCTATAGCAGACCTCTATGAAGACTTTTGATCACGAAAGTTCTTCGACGGTTTCCTTAACCTATTATATATGAAGAGATTATTTAATATCTTGATTTGCAGCCATTGTATTTATTTTTTTTAGAAATTACTTTCTTCAATAGAATCGAATGAGGAATTTGTTTGTAGAATATTTATTGAACCGGAGACCATATATCACAGGATGTCATTTTTTTCATTCTGGAAATGTTCTACAAAAATGTTGCTCATAAAATTTTAGGTGCGGTCTTCAAAGTATTTATTTCAATATATACTCAGTAAAAAGTCTTTATAATGAATAAATGTCGGATTATTTAACAAAAACATATATAGTTAGGTCAAATAAGCCAAAAAACCCCCCTAATTTCAAGGAAGAAAGAACCGGATTCCAAAATTGTTGAACCGGTTTTAATACCTTATGTGCATTGCATTAGAAAAGTAATAAACAAACGCGCCAAATTTATTGAACCGGGCTATTATCAGTTTTATTTTCTGAATGTTCAAATCTTCAGAAAATCGGTTCTTTCCTTGACGACCCCATATAAAATCTTATGAGCAACATTTTTGTAGAACATTGCGAAGATGAAAAATTAGATTTTTTGATAATAGGAGTCCCGATTAATAAATCGAGTACAAAAAGAGTAAGTACATACTGAAGAAAATATATACAATTTCTATAAATCAAGATATGTATTGAGAAATCACTCCATGTATAATAGGGTCGCCAGCCAAAAAATAGTCGCGACATATCTTCGAACTTTGACCTATGGTGAATTTTTTCTTCTGCGTAGGAAATTTCCATTTCGCACAGTGCTATAGAAGATCTCTCTATCTATATCATCAGACCTTATTCAAGTCCTCTGTCTATAGGCCGGAGTATTCGATTTAGGTCATGATGATCTCTCGGGTCATTAGAAAATAATTTAATTTATGACAAATTTTTTTTAAATATTTAAATGTATGTAAAAGCTCTTCATGCCTGTATTAAACAATTCTCGGCATGAATCTATATTGAAAAAAAAATTCAATTAGACTTGCAAGGTTTACAACCTCACGACTAATAAAAAAATCTACTACGTCAATGTACTCTCTGAGGTATTTGACGTATTTTTGTACCTTCTAATTTGGTATTGTTGTGTTGACTTATTTTTATTTTTAATTTGTATTAATTATTAACTGGAAAGCATAGAACTTGTATTTCACGTAATGCAAATGTGTAATTTTAACAACGATAATCTTCCTAATTATCATAAATATTGGAAATATCCCAGAAAACTGGATTTTTTCATTTGTTGATTGCGAAATTGTAACTGTTTTGGTGGGGTCATCGGGAGGTCTACGAAATCGTTGCCTAGTGTAGAAGTAGAGCATTTCTTATATTAAATTTAGAATTATAAACTCCACAGTATTGTTATTCCGTTTGCAAAACCTGCATACTGAATTTATTGAAATGCATATAGGGTTTTAATGGCAAGAAGCGGGTAAAATTTAGAATAGAATAGATTACGTTAAAATTAAAATATCGAAAATTAAAATATCGATTTCTCTCCTCAAAGGCGAGTAATCGATATTTTAAATTCTAATGAGCAAAATTTTTGTAGAATATTGCGAGGATAAAAAATCTTATCTTGTGATAATTGGAATCCGGCTCAATAAATTAAGGACGAAAAGGACGCACAAGGAATCAAACTAGAGGGAGGAAATGTTCTACACAAAATTCCTCATTCTCAAAATCTTGTCGCACAGTGTTATCAGATGTATTCATGGGTTAATTCAAATTGGCAAATTAATTTTTCCGAATGTTAAAGAGCACAATACATTGTTCTACTAGGGATAACTAAATCGACTTTCGACTAATCGATTAGTCGACTTTTTGTATTGAAGAGTCTAAAAGTCGAAGGCAACAAAATGTTTCAGAGCTTATATTTTATATGCAACTAGTAGATATATATATTATATGGATTTCATATATCAAGGCCTGACTATGGACGACACATATAAAAACCAGTGAGCGGGGCAGTATAGTCGGACGGGGCCGACCATACGATACCCTACACAACTACCACGGAACTCTAACTTTCTGCGGATGTTTATTCCGAGCCTGGGCAATATTTCGTGATTTTTGCACCCTCCTGCCCGATTAGAGGTCAACAGCATCTCTTCTTACACTGCCATATTTGCCGAATATTACTAATATACAGTACAGCCCTTCTAATTACTTCTCCAGATTCCCATCACCGTGTGTTGTGATGTTCCGCTTATAATTGTGGCCTATAGATCGACTCGAAAAAATAAGTTTTCGGTCCACTTCATCCCAAAATTATTATCTGATCATCACCGAACAGTATAGGCGTTGTCCTTTTAGTCAAAGTCAAAAATCGAAAAGTTTAAATATCGGCAAAAAATCAAAAAGTCTAAAACGGCTTTTACATTAGAGCTGTTTACCGGGTTAGCCTACCCTGTGAGGATTTATTTAACATGTATACAATGGAATTGACAATTGAAACCCACTGGTTTAACGAAATCCAGTATAATGTAAAACTACTATAAAGAAGGTCGACTTTTGCGCCCATCTACGTATCTCTAGGTCCCACGTCAAACCGTACTGAATATTTTTATGCTAAAACATTTCCAATGGAAATTTAACATATATATTACATATTCGAGAGCTAGAATACTCTGTCGTTTGAGTTCTATATTTTTCCTTAGTCAAATGCAAAACACATTTATATAAAAAAATAAACCAAAACAATGCGAAGAAATTATAAAGTACAAGGGAAGGCATAAATTAGCTCTCACATAGCCTACGTCAAAAACAATCTTGCATATTTTCGAATTAAAACAGAAAATACCGTTTGCGCTTTAATATTTTTTTTCCTTGATTTTTTTTTTGCAGCTTTCGTGTTACGTTCAACGCCAGTTGGACTTAGTACATAACTAAATTAATTTTAATTAATACGAATTTATTTTTATAATTTATATATTATTATTGCTGATGTTGTTGTATAAAAAATATTTGAATTAAAACAATTTTTTTTAATATTTTTGTGTTTATACTAATACATCATCCCTTTCATTTTATTTCTCTTTTCTTCTGTTAATTTACAGATTTCAGTTACGTGGTCCATTAATTATCTGGAATACCATGCTGGCCATGTTTAGTATTATGGGTGCATTCCGTACAGCTCCAGAACTTTTGCATGTTTTACGTCACTATGGATTATTCCATTCCGTTTGTGTTCCTAGGTGAGTTCCATTATTAAATTATATTACAAATTAATGCATTCATTATTCAATTATATGCGTATGTATGTATGTCTGAACGTATAACATGCATGTGCAATTATTTGCAAAAAAAAATAGAAATCAAAATTCAATGAAACGAAAATCAATAACAATTGGCCTGTTCTTCCAGTACTGCAAGAATCTACTAGATTTTACTATTATCTTCGATTACATAAGTTTACTTGCGGCAAGTCTCTGTTTGCAGGAGAGAGAGGCATGGGAATAGAAATTGAAAAAAATTGCTCGTACCGGCAATTTTCTGGCAATTCGTTTTGTGTATTTTGTTTGCAGTGTCAGTAATTTGAAATACCAATCCAGAACATGATCACAAAATGTAAAAAAAAAAAACAGTGAGCGTAGCGGACGGGGCCGACCATATGATACCCCACACAACTACCACGAAAAGCAAACTTTATGCGGTTCTATATTTTGAGCGTGGGCAATATTTCGTGATATTTTCACACTCTTAAGCGATTATAGATCAACAACTCCACTTTCTAAGCCTGGCAAATTTTCCAAAATGTTTTTCTTGAAGTGAATTTTTACGCCATAAAATAAAATAATTGGTCACTTTAGGTTTTGGGTTGATTTGACCCTCAGAATATTGATCGATCATCATATAAACAGCCGCTCTAAGTATTTGGTCAGATCCCCTTCACCTTGTAAAATATGTGATGTTCTGCATATAATAATTGCCTCTAGAGCGATTAGAAAATCGGACAAAAATTAAAGTTTTCGGTTCATTGCGCCCCCTGAATGAAATCGTAACTTCACCGAAAACTATAGGCGTCGTTCTTGACCATAATCGGAACTTCATGTACAATTTCAAAGCGATCAGCGCGACATTTCCGTCCTCTAATGGTGTAACAGTAATGCTATGTACAAAAACCCAAACCAAATTACGTATAATTCCTACACCAGAGTACATACAGCCATACAATTGTTATTAATTTGAAGGTCAACAACTCTTCTTGGATATACTATCAACTTCTCGGGTATATGGCAAGTATATACACCACAGAATACAAATTTCGTAATTTTTCACACAAAAGTCAGGGTCCATTTGACCCGCTAAATAATGACCGATCTTTATCAAAACAGACATGCTTATTCTTTGACTCGATCCCCTTCTCCATGTAAAATTTCACGATGTTCGGACCATAACTGCGGCCTCTGGAACGCCCAGAAAAACCGACAAAAATTAAGTATTTGGTCAATTTCATCCCCTAAATATTAACCGATCTTTACCAAAAACAATAGGGATCTTCTTCGGCCAGATCCCATCCTACATTCAAAATTTCGCAGAGATTGGTCTATAACTGTGGCCTGTATCGTGTTTACAAATTATAAATGGACAGACGGACGGACACATGTCTAAATCGACTCAGTTAGTCGAAATATGACGATCGGTATACTTAAAGGTGGGTCTAGGACCAATATTTCGCGGCGTTACAAACTTTTGGGGCTGCACAAAGCTATAACACCCTGACAACATAGTTGTGTAGGGTATAAATATTTTTGAAACCGAATTGCTTTGTATAGACGCCTGAAGCATGTCCAAAAGAGAACGATACGAATTGCCGCAAGTAATCTCGCCTAATCTAAATCAGGACTGAGGACTAAAAAAAGGGACGTTTTTCTGTGTTTTTTTTTTTTAATCCTATCCAAGGTATATACGTTGAAATCAGACAAAGATATCACTTTTGCACATACTCACACCTCACTGCTAGGATGTTTGGTATTGCAAATGGGATATATCGGTCGCCGGGATATATAGCTCCTATATAAATTATCTTATTTTCGGCATTTATATTATATTTATGGTATGTTCCCTTACTGCAAGAATCTACTATTTTTTACTAGATTCATGCTGTACGGGAACAGACCATTAATTGCGAGTTATTGGAGGATGATATATACCTTCTTTAGAAAATGTTCGATATCGGTCCATATTTTAACCTAGCCCACATATAAATTTTCCGCCTCATATTCGGTATTTTAAAGTTTTTTTTTTTTGCGCATTCAACCGAAATGGATGTAATTTGGCATTCTGTGTTCTTTGATGACGATAAATATCTTTTGAAAAAAGCTTACCTTTACAGCTCCAATAAGGTCCTGTCTAATTTGCGGCATTTTGAAAACGATTTTCCCTATTTAAAAGGTTTTCGAAACTCCCATAATAGATGTCTGTTTAATTTTCGGTATATTGATGTTCCTAGTCATGCAGGATGTTTATAATTAACTCAAAGCTTAAAGAACTTGCTAGCCGACGATTGAAATTTCGTCGTTGAAAAAAATATATATTAGATAATAATAGTCTATTCAAAAATATTTAAACAATTTATATATCTTTAATATTTATTTTGATTTTGAGTGAGAGTACGAAAAAAATGTTACGCAAATACATAAATGTACAAAAGATCAATGAACTTTTTTAATTTCTATTTCTATAAAAACAAGTTTTGAAATTTAATTTTCTACTCGAATAAATTTATTAGTAATTATTACAAAAAAAATTGTATGACTAATTGCGTATTCGATCGTCAGACCATCGTGTTTTAAAATCACGTTTGAGCTCACTATAGAAATAGAGCTCTGATTTGGCATTTTGAGGTGTTCGGGCATGTTTTTCAGCTTACTTGACTGTTGGATTTTATATTTTGGATTCTCATCGCGTAAAAATCCCTTTAGCAAAAATTATCAATATTAACCCAAACTTTTGTATGGTACTCCCTATTATTCAGTAATTTGAGGTTATTTTTTTTTTTTTTTTTTTTTTTGAGTTATTATTTTGGATTTTTCCCACAGTATGTATATTTACGTATTTCAATTCCAGGAATACAATAAAAAAGGAACTTATAAAGATTGACCTCCAAAAATATCGTCAATACACAGATCTTGTGATTCACACCCTTACGTATTTCTTAATTAAGTAATTTTATTCAATTTTAAATGTTAATACTTGTTTTTGGTTAAAATAAAAATATTATGGCATCCTTTTAATGCGGCTTATAAATATTAAGTATTTTTTTTTTAAATTTCTAAACTGGATACAAATTTAAAAATAAAACAGTAAAAAATTTCAAAGTGAAAATACCATTAAACAATTAAAAATTAATTACACTGTGCAACAAGATTTTAGAACGGATTATAAAGCAACAGAAATCTAGCTCTGTTTGGTATCATTTATTACATTTTGTACAATTGTAGTACTTAGTTCCAAAACTAATTTCAAATTTCATGATTTGAACTTTATGGTTCACATAAATACAAATTGTATCAAATTTAGTACCATTTAATGCGCATTAATATAAATTTCCGTAACTCTTTACATCAACAATCCAATAGACATCTTATTTTCCAATTTCAGGATTACAGCCCTATCGGTTAAAACAAATCCAAATTGTACCAAAATTAGTACACTTCAGTGCAACTACCAAAAACATCCTACATACACCAACACTGATCCAAATTTCACAATTCCAGTTCCATTGGTTCACCTAAAATTCAAATTGTAACAATTTTAGTACCACATATGGGACGAATTTCTAAAATTACATACAAACCTCAATTCTAAAATACAGAAATAATTTTATTTCGGTTCAACCAAATCCAAATGGTACCAAATAAAACACCATTTAGTGTTTTTTTCTTACATATAAGTACAAACTTCGAAAACTAACCAATGTTACACTTCGCTAGTAATGTTAATTTCAAATTTCAGGATTCAAGCTCCATCCGTTTCTCCAAATTCAAATTGTACCAAATTTAGTAACGTTTAGTACTTTTCGTACATATGAGTACACACTTCCGAAAGCACTTCCTTATATCGACCATATTTCTTAACCTTGATTCGCATTCCAGATTCCAAGTTTTTAGCTCTATCCGTTCACATGCTACCATGACCCAATAATATCGTCGCCCGATAAGGCCAGATGATTTCACCCGAGCTGTCAAAATGCTTTCGATTTCGACTAAATTGTGTGAAAACGTAAACAAAACATTTGACAGTATGGGGTATTTTACTCCAAAATTGTCGATAACGATTGCTTCTGACACAACCTACTTATTGGACCATGCATGCTACGAAATTTTAACAAATTTAGTACATTTTTCCTTATCTGACACCTTCGGACTAGGGATAAATAAATCGATTAATCGACTTTTTGTATAGAAAAGTGGAAGTCGACTTTAGATATATGAGGAAATTGCAAAGTCGGCTTTCGATATTCTTCAAAAATAAATTTATTATCACAAAGCTCAAATTGCCCAAAAATTATTCATTCAAGAACTTTGAACGGCATATACATTAAAATTTTTTACCGTGTTAACCTACTCTATGAGGATTTATTTGACATGTATACAATGGAATTGACAATTGAAACCCATTGGGTTAACGAAATCCGGTACAATGTAAACGTACTATTATTTTGTCTGTTGTCAACAGACTATTGGTCTGTTCCCCTACTGCAAGAATCTACTAGTTTTACTATTTTGTTCGATTTCATAAAGGAAAAATGTGTTATCGTAGTAAAAAGTAGTAGATTCTTGCAGTACGGGAACAGGCCAAAAGTCTGTTGAAAACAAATCGGTAAAAGTCGAAAATCGATTTTGAACAGGTATAACAAAATCGAAAGATCGAAAAGTCAAATATTAAGGGCTAAACAGAATGTTCGCGTTGAGCGTTAAAATATATTTAACTCCGAAGCACAGCGCACATCAACATCGAGCGTTTTTGTTATCGTTTCCTTGTGGTTGTTGTATTTTCGATAACACATAACGCAACGGATGGCTCAACGCGAGCATTCTCCTTAGCCCTTTAGTCAACGGCAAAAAACGAAAAGTCTAAAAGTAGTCTTTTGCGCTCGATTTGCGTATACCTACTTCGGACTACGAGTGACCCTCACCCCAAATTTCAAGATTCTAGCTTCATCCATTTTCTCTGGGCGGTCATAAATCGT